TGGCCCAGCCGTTCTTGAGAAGAAGTCGAAAAAGTGAAAAGTTTACAGACAGACAGACAACTAGACGGACAGCCAGACAAAATGTGATCAGAAAAGCTCACTTGAGCCTTCCGCTCAGGTGAGTTAACTAGAGATGTATGTAAAACACTTATGTCCCCTTACCCCCAATTGGAATTTTTCTAAAATGGCACATTTGTACCCAAAACAGAACTTCGCCTATATATTCATCTGATAAATTTGTATACTAAATTTCATTTCATTATGTGCAACCGTTGCAAAGAAAATAAACGTAAAAGCAAATAATTGGAATTCCCCCCAAATTTGAATTTTTTCCAAGTCCAAAAGGGCAAATTCCATCAAAAATGGTCCCATCAAACCAAAAACAGAACTTGACCTAGATATTTATCTGATATATCTGTATACTATATTTCATTTCAGTAAGTGCAGCCTCTGCAAGGAAAATGAACAGAAACTGCAAATGATTGGAATTTCAAGAGGCACAACTCTGTCAAACATGGAGCAATTGTACCCAAACAGAACTTGACCTACATGTAGATATCTGATATATCTGTGTACCAAATTTCATTTCAGTATGTTGAACAACAGACAGACTGACCGACAAACCGACAGAAAGCAGCAAATCAATATGCCCTCCCTTCTTGGAAGAGGGGCATAATAATTAAAAATTTGATGATTTGTTATAATTTAACACAAAATGCTAAAATAATTGGTTGCAACATAATTTTTCCCAAAGTGCATCAACTGACAATGTCTATGTACCACATGTACAAGGACAGAACTCTACATCTTACAGCAAAAAATGACCAGAAAAGCTAACAGATGGACAGCAAACACTGGAAAACAACCAATTGGAATTCTGAAATGCTGAAAGTATCTGTACAAGTCTGGAAAGATAAGACGGGAGGGGGGACACATACATATCAAATGTGTGTTACTCGATAATCATTTACCTTGAGTACAATAGGTCAAAAGACATTTTGAAGAGCTTGATGACATAAAGAAAATGGTATCAAAGCCAGGACGACTTTAGTATGATAATGTCCAAAACAAAGTTGAGCACCATTTAGAGTAGAAAGTCACAAGTAAAACATCTCTTAAGATCACCAACTGTTATATTTAGCACCAGTTAAACTTAATACAGTTCCATTTGCAAACATTTAGTTTTGTAATGCACACCATCTGATATCAAGACTTTTTGGCTCGCCTTTTTTCCATCACAATGAGAGTCAGAAGTGCTTTTACTATTTCTTTTCTATCCTCCAGCTGCAAATAATTATAAGGTTTACTGTAGTAAAGAACAGGTCTTTCTTCTTCTTTTAATTTCACTGACCCATGTGATCTTTGAAGTTTTTCCATCGTTTCATCTGTCACAGATAACCTTGTGAACGTAACCTGTAAAATAAAGAACATTTCAAAAGAAGTATTTTTTTACAAGAATAATCTGATCCTGGTTTTAAGCAAACTGTAATCAAAGGTCTAGTATAATAAAAAAAAAGATCAATAGACAACATTGCTCCCTAGTATAGAAAGTCATATAGTCCTTGATTTCTTCAGAGGAATATCAAAGATTTTCTTTAAGTGTATTCCTGTGTAATTTGGTGTAAAACTTGTTCTCCTATTGTGGTCCTAAACTATTCTAAGCACTCATGGTTTAAACAGAATGATATATTAAAAGAGCAAAAGTCTTTATACATGTAAGGCCTACAATAAAAATTTGGTTGTTTGCAGTTGCCTACCGATGCCCTGAAAATGCACCCAACCAAAATTTTTTTGGCCACTTTGTAAAATTCTTTTTTCAATTTTTCAGGTTATTAAAACTGTTTCATTTTCAATTCTTGAATTTTATTTGTTTTATCAATCAGTGGTTTATAACAAGAGTGGAGCTCATTCTGTCATTCATGTTAAGTAGGCCTATGAAAAGCTATAACAAAATCCGAAAACCTTTTATTTAAAAAAAAATGTCTACCTACCCATCCAGTCTAAAAATTTAAGGCACACAACTGCAAACAAAGAATTTTTTTAACTTGGCCTAATTAGAGTGTACTTGACACTGGTACACATGTACTGTAATGGTCATTGATCTCTCTGGTTTAGGAAAAGCTTTTCCAACTTCATAGTCTTTGTCGAAAATGTCCTCATCATTTCATATTAAGTCATATTGAACAAGTTAAAAATTTTTCTATAAATATCCAAATGACAGAATAGGGTATGGACTTGGAAAGAAAAAATAATGAGTTGATCTTATTATAATAATCTTGAAAGTTTTTTACAGTAATGCCCTGTTCACATGACGAATTTAATTCGCAGTAAATTAATGCGAAGTAAACTAATGCCAATCAAATTAATGCGAATTAAATTGCGTTTACACGACAGCTAATTCGAAGTAAACTAATGCGAATTAAAATTTTTCTTCTACAGCCAGGCGTCAGTAAGTCTATTACGACGTCATTTGTAAATCACTTCATGTATGCAGAGCCATCCTTTGATACATTATGTAGTGGCTAAAAGAATTCATTGATTTTAAATAGTGATTAACACACTTTCCCTCAATTTTTTAACCAAATACAGCACAAATACCTATATCTAACCACCAACATGTGTCCTGTGACTTAATTCTGGCCTTAAGCATGCCTCAAAATTTAATTCGAATTAGCTTCGCTTAGCGTTCACATGCGAAGTAATTTAATTCACAGTAAACTAATTCGGATTAAACTAATTTGCATTAAATTCTCTGTGTGAACGCTAAGTGAAGCCAAGTCGCACTAACTTTACATTTAATTTGAATTAAACTCTCCGTGTGAACAGGGCATAAAACTTTTGTAATCAGTAAACCTGGACCATTGGTTCCAAAAAAATAACATGTTGATAAGTCAAAATTCCTGTGAACACTACACAATAAACAAATGAATTAACAATGCTGATAGAGACTTAACTGTATTTACATATTATTCATTACATTATAAAACTAAATATAAATGCCTCTAAATAAATAAATAATTTATAACAGTACATTTGTCTTAATTACACAATTATGTCAAGATTCAAAAGAAGTTTTGAGCATACCATTGTTTTTTCCACAGTCATTCCTAATATTGCCCCTTTACATATTGATTTGTCCAGGTAGGTCAAAAGGTCACCAACATGTTGTGCAAGTAACCCATCAGGTAAATGGCAGCTCTGGGACCTTTGAGGAGAATCTTCTGTTCTTCTGAATTTCTGTGGTGATTGTCCTGTCTCTTCATCTGTGAAAGGGCATTTTTTTTTCACCTAAAATGCAAATGTAAATTAATTATTTTCGTTATATTCGAAAGATATTCTCACTATACAACTCTATACAGACAAACAGTCTATAATTGAAAAATTAGCTCACATGCGTAAAAAATAATGATCATCTACATTTTTCTGCTGTTGACCGGCTACATGTAGGAATCATGCATGAAAAATTATCCCACTTTTTCTGCTTTATTCATTTGATTGGAAGATTTATTAAAAGTGACTACCCCAAAAAATGTGACGTCACAATAGGCTCATCGTTTATGTCAATAAAGTGCCATACCACAGCAGATACGCCCGTCAAAAAATTACAAAATTATCTTTAACAGTTAAGAGTGCAAGAAAATCATGTCAACCTTGATTCTAAGATTTCCATGATTTTTCCATTTTTTAAAAAAATATTTCTTTATCCATCCCCTGTGCTGTAGGCATAATTATAACAAATATTACATAACTGATAGATTTCTATACTGTTTGTGTTAGACTTTGTCAAATGCCGGCCATCATAATAAACAATATCAAATTAGTCTTAACAACTTAATCTATGCCAAATTAATTTTGAATAAAGTGCCGGCTACGCCACAGCATGATACGCCCGTCAAAAAATTACAATTAACTTAAAACAGTTTAGAGTGCAAGAAAATCATGTAAACCTTGATTCTAAAATTTCCATGATTTTTTCTATTCCTTAAAATATTTGTTTATCCATCCCCTGTGGTGTAGGCATTAATCATAACAAATAACATCACTGATAGATTTCTATACTGGTTGTATTTAGACCTTGTCAAATGCCCATCATATTAAACAATATCAAATTAGTCTTAAGAACTTTAAAATTTATACCAAATTAATTTTGAAAATAAAAGGCTGGCCATCAGATAACATATGCTATTTAAACTGACCAGCAGTTCTTCTGTCTAATACCCAAAGGATACAGATAAAAAGATGCTAGCTAGCCTTCCTAAATTGAACTCATTAATTAATCTTTGACTGGATGCTTGTCTACTCATTACTATAGATGAATGAATCTGCACTATCTACCATAAAATATTTTTAAATCATATAATTTAAAATACTCAATGATTTTTTTTAACATTTAATAATGTCAGAAAGGTTTTCTATGGAAAATGGACATGCTGATTCCACCCCTATGAAATTAGTTTTTTAAATTAATAATATTTTAAATTAATAATATAATATATTATTAGATTAGTTTATTATGCAATATCAAATTAGTGCTAATTACTTTTCATCAAATTCATTTTAAAACTTAGGCTAGCCAACAAGAGCTATTTTTAATCCACCAGGCTTACCCATCTGCCCAATTCCCAAAGGGATACAGATAACAGCGATGCTCTCCAATTAGCTCCTCACACTAAACTCATTAATTTCTCTCTAATATGACATGCAATTTTCTGTTATCAAAACTCTTGACCAGTGCTTGATAATTACACTCATGGGAGACATGGGATTTCTCTAACATACATTATATTTGTTATAGATTGCTGCCAAGTATATGCTGAAAAAAAAATAAGTATATTCTTGATTTAACACTTTTTTAATAAGGATACAACTAAAGTTTTACATTTTTTAGGATCATGAAATTCAAAATTTAAAAGACTTAGTTTTTTAAAATATTTCACTTAAATTAAAGGTCACAGTGACCTTGAAATAGGTCGCAACACACCTTCTACCCAAGATGTATACATTTGCCAAGTTTGAAAGTTCTAGGTCTAATAGTTTACTAGTTATGAGCCGGACAGGATATTTCCATATTTGGCCATAGCATCTTAATTAAAGGTCAGAGTGACCTACTTTTTGCGCGCGACACACCGTCTACCCAAGAATTATCAGTTGACAAAGTTTGATAATCCTAGGCCTAATAGTATTGAAGTTATGAGCCGGACACGAATGGACAGACAGACGGACGGACGGACGGACGGACATGAAGTCTATAACATAATACGTCCCGTCTTAAGACGGGCGTATAAAAAGAAAGGCTGGCCATCAAATGACATATGCTATAAACTGACCAGCAGTTCTTCTGTCTAATCCCCAAAGGCTACAGATAAGGCAGCGCTTGATCAGATAGCCTTCCTACATTGAACTCATTAATTAATCTTTGACAGGATGCTTGTCTACTCATTACTCCCTAAATATTAACGGATCTGCACTTTTTATTCTAAAACACTTTTAAAACATATAAAATACTCCATGATTTCTTTTTAGATTTAATGCCAGACAGGTTTATATTTAATTCATCTGGACAAGTAGGCATGCTGATTCAACCCCACCCCATAAAATTAGTTTTTAATTAATTAATATTATATAATATCAGATTATTAGTTTATTATGCATTATCAAATAAGTTTTAATTACTTTTCATCAAATTCATTTTAAAACTTAGGCTAGCCAACAAGAGCTATTTTTAATCTAACAGCTAGGCTGGCGGTCCATTTGCCCAATACCCAAGGGATATTGATAACACTAATGCTCTACTAGTTACCTCCTCACACTAAACTCATTAAATTCTCTCTAATTTGACATGCAACTTTCTGCTATCAAAATTCTTCTTGACCATGCTTGATAATTATGCCCATGGGACAAATTGAATTCCTCTCATTAACATTGAAATTTGTTTAAGATTCCTGTAAAGTATATGATGAAAAAAATAAGTTTTTACTTGATTTAATACTTTTTAATAAGGATACAACTCTATTTTTTTTTTATATTTTTAAGGTTATGAAATTTAAAATTTAAAAAACTTAGTTTTTTTAAAAATTTCGCTAAAATTAAAGGTCACAGTGACCTTGAAATAGGTCGCGACACATCTTCTACCTAAGATGTATACTTTTGCCAAGTTTGATAGCTCTAGGTCTAATAGTTTTCTAGTTATGAGCCGGACAGGATTTTTCCATATTTGGCCATAGCATTTTTATTAGAGGTCAGAGCGACCTACTTTTTGTGCGCCACACACTGTCTACCCAAGAAATATCAGTCGACAAAGTTTGATAATCCTAGGCCTAATAGTATTGAAGTTATGAACCGGACACGAATGGACGGACGGACGGACATGAAGCCTATAACATAATACGTCCCGTCTTGAGACTGGCGTATAAAAACACAACTGGTAAAAAAAAAGGCGAGATTTGCAGAGATTGATCAACTTTTTGGAAATAAGAATAGCAAGAATACATCAGATTTGATACTAATGCTATAGAGAATCATCTTGTTTTGCCATTCTTCTTCACAATGAAAAAAACTAAATCCTGTACTTAATTTTATATAATAACACAACAGCTTTATTGACTGTGTTTTCATGCAACATTGATGATGTAAGTCTCCTCCCAATGAAAATACTGTAAATCTGGAAATTTTTGCTGTAGATAAATTTTAAGCATAGTTGTGAGTTTATTGCATTCGCAAAAATAATTATCTTAAAAATAAATTACAAATAAGAAAATGTAAACAAAGCAGTGGTAATTCGCAAAATTTTGAAACGTAAAAATTAATCAACACCATTTTGATCCGAATTCGCAAAATAAAATCGACGTAACAAAAATTTCCAGTTTTACAGTAAGGCTCTCTGCTTTACATCTGGCAATATTTCAACCACTGGAGTCCAACATAATAAATGTTGCCCTTAACCTCATTCTGTATTTGTATAATACTGGGGTATATCAATACTACTGTATATATTTTTTGCTTATGCATCAATTATCAATTAAGTTAACTGCTTAGTACGGGATTTTCAATCTAATATCACTTCTTCATTAGAAAAAAATTCTGGCAGAATTCTTGGATAAGCCAAAAAATGATTAATGCTTCAAGGGGCACAAAAACATTGCATTTCTTGCAACAAAATTTTGGGCTACCTCACAAATCGCCAAAGTATATTTCTTCACATCTCTGGGACTAAAGCACACAATATCTGCTTTTGCTGAAACTTTTCTTTGAAAAATCTCTGTTGATTCTGTATCTACTTCAGGCTCTGCCCTAAAAAAAATAGATAGAGGCAAGTATATAAGAACCAATCCATATAGTTTACCATGTTATAATGTTTTTAATTATAAATAAAGTGAAATTATATTTGATTTTAAAGTAGAATTGGCAAAGTGGATAGTTACACTGTTGTATTAATGACTTATAAGTTCAAATTATTTTGATTTTTTTAATACTCCATTTTTTATTTTGATGTCATGAGTACGATTAAAGTGATCTAAAATCCTGTGACCCAGACTTATTATGCTTGGATGGCTAGGAGGACAGAGGTACACTAGAACAATATCCCCCCCCCCCCCAAAAGAGAGACAGCCAACTGACAGATGAATACACTGACAGACATGAACATAGCATACAATATAAATAGAGCTTTTATTTTGAATTCAAAGCAAATTAATTTGAAAATAAGTCATGATTTTCTTTAACACTTACATGACATCAATTCCAAACATCTCCAGAAATTGCTCAAATAGACACTGATACTTTTCCTCAGAAATAATGGGTTGTTTTCCTTTCAGAATATACCAAAGGCTTACTCCAAATTTGTTAAAATATGTTGAGTACTTTGATCTTCAAATAAAAGAATATTTTATTAGACAAATGTGCACATACAGCAAAGTTACATTAGATAAATCAGTCATGTACTATAATCAGTCAGGGATGAGGCTGAAATCAGTCATTTATATTTAAAACAATGATTACCATGATTGCAATTCATAAAATTGATTTTTTACACTGACTGAAATTCATTTTTAAAATAATAATTAGAGTAGGGGCCCACTTGTGGTAAACCAGAAGCTGGATTTAATCGTTTTCAGTCTTAAAATTATGGTACATAAAGCATATATATATAAAAAAGTAAACAATGTCTGAAGAAATGCTGGAGTGTAGGGGTGGGACGATACACAGATCTTGCGATATGATACATATCTCAATACATTAGCACAATACGATACATATCTCGATATTTTGATAAATTATAAAACTTTACAAAATTTTTTTTTTTTTCATTTTTTGTCTTGACATTAAATTAACATGATAAATTGTAAAACTATTCAATAGAATTAGTATTTTATTTCTTTTTTTTTTTTTTTTGTCTTGACATTAAATCAACAAATTATTCTACATGAAATCATATGTGCTTTGAAATTAATACTAGAAGTTCATCAATTTCATCGACTAAAAACTTTACAAAAACAATAATACATGTACATATTATTATTGCAAAATTTCTATTAACAAGTTGTTTACAAATAGTTGTGAATTTACCAAAGAACACTGACTAAAATTTCATTTAAAACATCACATTTACATAATTATTAATTGCTGAAAGTTTGCAGAGATTACCAAAAAATAAAAGAGTACAAGATAGAAAGAATACTTTCTGTGTATTACACGCTTTACATACTGAACTTTTCTTGTCCAATCTTCCGAGGTTGCATAAAAATTAAAGCGTTTTTACCCCTAATCAATGACTTAATAGTTCTACAAAGTGTTTTCAACATTGACATAATTTCTTCGCTTCGTACAAGCCACCATTTTTCAAGAACAGGTACTTTCATTTTCAATTTTTGGATAGGTCATTCATGTATCGTTTCGTACCAATATTTGAATGCTTGTATCGTAAACTGTATCTTAAAGGAAAATATTGGTATGTATCGGTGTATCGGTATATCGTCCCAACCCTACTGCAGTGTACAATGAGTATTATTTGCTTGAATTAAAATTCACGGGTATGTAACAGAAAATTGATTAGATTTAAAACACAAATGCAAGGTCAACATGGTCAAATGCCGGTCATTTCAGATTCAGTAAGGTATATTTTAGCCTAGGTTATTGTAAAATCACATATTTTCGTGGGGTCAAATTTTCGTGGTTTGAGGAAAAACTCTTGGTTCGTTGGGCATGTTGGGATTTGATTTCGTGGATGGAAAATTGTTGAGTAGTTATGTTTGCAACATTTTAAATTCTGTAGTGGACATGAATTTGTGGGTCTCTTCATACCTCGAAAACTACGATATTGATACCATATAAATTACCGCTTCAATTGACAAAAATACCGCTTTGAAAAAAAATTTTTTGCGAGGTCCACAGAGATTCTGTTCATAAACCTCAGTCTCTAGCCTGTAACAAATGATCTCGAACCCTTTAATATGAAATATAGGGAAAACACTAATTGTTTTCATTTGTATGCTGTTCATTTGGGATTTTTCTACTCTGATTTTCTTTTTTGGCAGCAAATAATTCTCTGTACATAACACACAAATGAAGATACTAAGTTAACAAGCTGCTACTTGCGTTGCCGCCCTCAAGCACAGGGTTTTTCACAAAATATTTATCTTCTTTTCAGTTAGTTACCCTACTATAAAAATATATATTTTTTTTAATATATATATAATATTAATAAGGGTAACTATATTAAATTAAAGAAGGAAAATATTTCCTGACAGACCCTTGTGATTTGACAACTGGCTTTGACGATTCATTGAATCTCCTGTGTTGATAAACACTTGCAAATATTTGAAAATATACAAACATGACAGTCCTGGCTTCATTTGCAATACTTACATGTCAATTTCTTTAAATCTAACGCTGTATCGCAACTTTTCCTGTACTGGCCTGACGAAATTGAAACCTTTGAAATTGATTTCAAGCAGTTTCTCATGATTAAGATTATTAAGACTTCCCAAAATATCTGTTATTTCTTCAAGGTTTTTTATTTCATCGCGCATGAGGTTATATGCCACAGTAGACATGTGCTCGGTGACAATATCAGTTGGCGATTTACGTTCGAAACATATTCCAAGTTTTTCAATTAAACTTCTCCTCCATTCACAAGTGCTTGATGGCACGTCATTTTCAGTCGAACTCGGTGAGCTGCAACTTGGTGGAATAGTTTCTGTGGATGATCTTGAAGACTGTCGTATAATGTTACTTCTGTTTGCTTGACAATAACCATTTGCATGTGAGCTTTCAGAAAATTCCGCCATTTTCCCCAAAATGTAAACACAGATTTTACGCATGCGCATACAAAGGGACATACTAAAACAAGTCCCACGGGGAAAATAAGTCCCACGTGAGTCCCACAGAAAAATAATGAGTCCCACCAGGAAATATGACATTTTATTAATATTCAACAACACATCTTTATAGATTATCATTGTTCATATATATTTTGAATAAAATTTTGTCACAAAAATGTTTTAGAAGCCGGTTACAAAGATTAGTTACAAAAACAAAGAACGATAACTCCTGTATCCTCATATAACTCTATAGTGTTTCCTAATGCCAACAATAATGATGACATTTTAGTAGTTTTTGAAAACAAATATTATTAAAAGATATTATAGTTTTATTATTAAATTAATTATATTTTTAAAAATGCAAGAAGTTCAAAGATGTTTTCTAATGATCGTGTATAAACAAAGAGCAATAACTCTTACATCTGCCTCAAGTATTCCCCATTTTCAAAAGTGAGTTATCTCCCCTCAAAATCGGAACTCTTCTACACTAGCCTAACTTCCGCGGACTACGCAATACAAAATAGTCATCAACTTACACGCTGTAATTAATAATTTTAAAAGAAGGAAACGGTTTGAATTTTTTTTTAGATAATAAATTATTTTATAAAAGGTCTGTTAGCCCCCCCCCCCCCATTTAAAGAAAGCTATACGAATTAACCAGGCACGTAGCATCGTCTTTAAAAGTGGGGGGGGGGGGGGTTAGCCAAAGAAATATTTTTTTCTTACCTGGAAAAGTTGACAAGCAAAGAAAAACCTTGCCCAAAGTTGAAAAAGCTACTTATTTCAGTACCAGTTCCTTGGCATACAATACTACATTTCTCTTATATAACTTACCGTAGTATTAACTGTGTGTGGGGGGGGGGGACCTATCTATCAATAAACATTTTCAATAGAAAAAGTAATATTGGGAAAAAAAAACTGGGGGTGGGGCTAAGCCCCTTGACCCCCCCCCTTCCGGTGCGTACAGGTACAGAGAATGAATATGTAAATGGGTTGAACAGTTGAATATGAACCATAGTTGTGAAAACTAAAAATTATTAGAATTATTAATTATGGATTCAATAAAATTACGGTACATATATTTTTCACAGATGTACATGTATGTCAGTTACACGGGGTTACATGAGTCTCTCTCTCTCTCTCTCTCTCTCTCTCTCTCTCTCTCTCTCTCTCTCTCTCTCTCTCTCTCTCTCTCTCTCTCTCTCTCTCTCTCTCTCTCTCTCTCTCTCTCTCTCTCTCTCTCTCTCTCTCTCTCTCTCTCTCTCTCTCTCTCTCTCTCTCTCTCTCTCTCTCTCTCTCTCTCTCTCTCTCTCTCTCTGATATTGTTTTTTACACACTTTGCAAAAAAGAATAACTTATAAAAATAAATAAATGTACTTACACTGAAAGGATTTTAAAAAAATAAATAACACTTGAGAAAAGAATGTTTTCCGTTAATTAACGAGAAATACGCAAGGAAATTATTGTATTAATTTCGTGTTTCTGCTCTCAATTATCTGATCTAAAACAAAATGTGTATTTTACTCGGGAATATACATGTACATATGCTTAGATCCTACACTAAAACTCTGATTAAATGCAGCTCAGACTTTATACGACATATGTAACACGAATTCAGGTCAATACTATTTAATTAGTCTTTCTTCGTTACATGTGTTGTGAAAAACTTTCAGTTAATTATAGAATTAGTACTCCAATGCATGGACTTGTATTTAGGTATCCTGGAAATATATTTGATGAATATGATGAACTTGTGGAAAATAAACGTGTTTATTATTAAGGTAGGATTCTTCTCATATTTCTAATATTTAAAAATTAATGAAATTTTCACAGAATCAAGAGGATAATATCAGTAAGTGATAGTATCAGTGAAATTAAATTTGACCGTTTTATATTAGAGGCAAGGTCAGGTCAAGGTCATTATCCTTTTCCTTGACATTAAGAATAAAAAATAGATATTGTAGATTGTAGATATTTTTTTTTGGTACATATAATTCATGGTGTAAATCAAATCACTATAAAATTTCAAGTTTATTTAAAAAAAAAAAACAACTCGTTTTTGACAGGTTCCACATCCAGGAGTATCACTGGCTTTAATAATCTAAATTTTTATCTTTACTTACATGATGGATAATAAACACATTTTTTAATAATTTCAATTTCTTTATTGATTCACCAAACATGTTGACATACAACTATGTTACATACAAAATAAAGAAAATGAATAGATAACAGCTACTTCTCAGCATGGTATTTGTTCTACAAATTAATACAAAACTTCAATGGTTGTGCCTTTAATACTAATATTTTGAATCTTTTCATACAATTCAAGAATTTACAATACAGTTTATGCTGACTTGGTCTATTCTAAATCACAATTCTTTATTAATTTAATTTTGAAAGAATGTTTTTATTTATGAAATCAAATACGGAAATTTTTGATTAATGATATGTTTATCATGACCTCATTAATAGTAACTGAATTTTCAATAATTCTACATTTAATTAAATATTTTATTTGAATTAAAAATGGTGTAACCTAGCTCCAGCTTTGTTCAAAAGTTATTGTAATAGGTATACAAACAACAGGGAGATTGAAAGGTGTGAATAACATCCCCCAGGTGTTGTGTACAGGTATACCAGGGACGTACCTCTACAGGTGTCTGTGTATATACACAATAAACATGGGTGTCAGGAAAACTTACCAAATTGTTGTTAAAATACATAAATCCACATTAAAACTATTTTAGTTTGTAAGAAACAAAGTAATAATATACTAGAATAAAATAAAACGTACTGTTAGTTGTATATAATATAATTGGAAGAATATTTTCAAACGAAACTTCAAAATTCAAGTAAAACAGAAGAAGAAATTAAAATCAGAAATAACACCATATTAATTTAACTTCTTTATAAAAAAAAAATATTGTTACAAATATCTATATTTTTTTTTTTAGAAAAAAAGTTAGCTTTCATCAGTGATTAAGCATTGTCAATATAGTTCTTGGCCATTGTTTACGTTTGAACAGAGTTATCGTTCTTGACTGTGGTCTGAAATTTACAATCGTCTATTTAACACACTAAAGTTCATTTTATCAAAACTTTTTTTGAAATATGATCATATAAATATAATATTCTTTCAAAATAACCCTTTATTTTATGTATTTATTGGCTCCTTTGCTGTGGGACTCACGTAGGACTTATGTGGGACTTATTTTCTCCGTGGGACTTGTTTTAGTATCAGCGCATACAAAGCTCGCTTCACTCTGACTACCTTTTCGACCTCGGTCTTTCTGCGCTCTTTATGAATCTTACAAACCATTAAGATGGATTGCCACACCATTTTTTTTTAATTTATAGATCTTTGAGTCATCCTTTTTAAACAATGGTTTCAGCACTGAAAGGCCGATATTAGCTCTTCATTATTTTATATCATTTTTTTTTTTTAATTTTAAAAATGAAAAAAAAAAAAATTATATATATATCTAAATAAATTGCTTTTGAGTTAAAAGTTTGCTGTAAATGAATGCATCATATGGATATCTAATAAAATAAAATAAGTATGTAAAGAAAGGCAGGCTAGACTTTTTAATTTAAAAAAAATTATGAAAATGAAACACATTATTTGTAAATAGTTTTTAAACCTTTGGTTAAAAACACCATAAAAATAGTCACAGCTGAGGAGAACATGTTTGTCAATCATTATTTAAAAAGAATTTGAAACTAAATTGAGAAATTTTAGAGAAATTATTATTATATTTATTTTTTTAATATTTGAATCTAACCCGATCAAAATTAGCACAAAATGAATAAAATACTAATTGATTGCCTCTTCATGTATTTACAGTAAAGAAATCTATTCTATTGTCAAGTTCAATAATGTTTTAACCCTTATTACACCTAATCAGACTAGTGTTCATGGGGAAATATTATTCTATTCCAATAATTGTACAGTTATGGCTGGGATCGGTTTAATTTTGATCTGGATTGCCCCCCCCCCCCCCGAAAAAAAATGAATAAAAAAATTCTTTAAAATTTGGCTATTTCGTTTCAATTTCTCCTATAAATATGACTAAAGACCGTGTTCTCCCCAGGTGTGACTGGTTATAAGAAAATTTTAACCACAAGTCTAAAAAAAAAATATTAAAAAATTATGTGTTTTATTTTCAAAATATTTTTTTTTATTTAAAATTTTTTAGTATCTACATGTATACAGCTTTTCATTTTTATTAGGTATTTATGTGATGCATTCATTTACAGCAAATTTTTTTTCAAGAAAGCATATTATTTTGATTATATGTGTCCGATACATGGTTATGTTTCCCTTTATATGTGCACGTATTTGTCTCAGTTCATTCATTAAATATTTGCCAGATTTATCTCTCTATAATTGAATGCAATGCTTTGATACTTAAAAACCGAATACTCGAATCATTTAAGGAATGAAATTAATAGCTACCCATTTTATACGGTATAAACTGGGTTGGGGCAGTTTACTATGGAACGCCAAATTAACATATTTTCAAATATTTGTACCTGTCTTCAAATAATTTCACCTATCTTTAAATGCATTGAAGATAGGTACAATTGAATTAAAGATAGGTACAGTTGAATTAAAGATAGGTAAAAATAATTAAATATACCGATCTCTAAATAATTATAATTAGGTACAATTGAATTATACCTATCTTTAATGGAATTACACCTCAGTATTTTCAATTCAATTTAAGATAGGTTCAATTGAATTACACGTATACCTAACTCTTATTCATTTGAAGATAGGTATAATTGATTTAAAGATAGGTACAATTGATTTGAAGAAAGGTTCAATTAAGACATATCCACAAAAGATTTGAAGATAGGTACAATTCAATTATACCTACATGTAGGTTCAAATCTTTTTATTTTATTGGTAAATAATGAACACTCCCTTGGAGACAATATTGAATGGAGGGAAACGCACAGAACCTACAGAGCGAAGACA